AAAAAAAAAAAAAGCGAGGGGAACAGAATGGAATTATTTACCCATTTGGCTTATTCAGTTTAGAACAAAACGTGGGTATTTTTTTTTCTTGATTTTTGCGGGCTTGTTACTTTTGCAAAAATCGGCTAACTTCGTGTAGTCCACTGCGTCGAAAGATGAGCGGGTATGTTCAGCCTTGTCCAGACATTGAAGGAAGATATTTTTTGCCTCTTCAGGGTGGAAGTGAGTCAGAGTGAGAGTGGGTGAAAGTGCACGAACGTGAAAAAAAGGGAAGAAAGTGAAAAACGGGTGTCCATGATGATACGATTTTTCTTTTCCGCTTTTTTTTCCCCATCGGGTGGGTACCTCTGGCGGATTGATGCCTATTCTTACGTACCTATATCGGTGCTATTGTTCTTTACGTAGTCGTTGAGCTCCTCCACGATGTACAGGGTGCACAGGAATGAAACTGCACATTTGGGAAACGATGGGAAAAAGAGATAGGCGTTATTCGTCCGCCTGCTTTGCAGTTGTACAGGGGCAGCACTCACATGTGGATAAATGAATAGAAATATATAGATACACACACATATATGTGTGTGTGCATAGGTTCAGGCACATTCACGGGCGAGCCGCTGCGGCCTCTTGTTTTTCCGCCCTTGCGGGGTACCTAGCAAATGGTCCCTCTCCAACTCCTGCGCCTTTTTCCATATGAACTGAATAGACTTCATGGATATTTTTTTGCCTCCCCCCCCGTCCTGCTCCTCCTGCGCTTCCATTTGGTTGCCTTCTTTCCGCTCTGGGGGTTACAAGCGTGATCTTTTCAGTCCGTTTGCAATGAGCGCGGCGTCGCCAATCTGTTGACAGTTTGCGTTTTTTATGAGCTTACTTCGAATAGCTTTTCTTTTCCAAACCTCGAAATGGATGTTTTTTTTTTAAAACATCAAATGACTGTTTTGTTTAAAACCTCAAATGGCTTTTTTTTTTTTTTTTTCTTGCTCGTTCATACAATAACGGAATTTTTTTTTCCCCACGCTTGTTCATACCGTAGTGGCATTTTTTTTCGTGCTACTCTAAATGTGCTAGTTACAAACTGGTACGTCCACTGCGACAGATGGCCCTTCTCCCCGTGAAAAAGGCATCCATGTGGCTCATTACGCAGTGAACACACATCCGGGGGGAAGAACCGCTTCATGGAGATTCCGCCGCGGTAATCCCACTCCCTCGCGGGGGAAACAAATGCACACACACATACGAGCAACTGCACACGTAGTAGCCAACCCCTCTATACCGCTTATAGATTGAAAATTAACAGAAGTTAGAATGGCAACTGTTGCAAGGGGGTCCCAGGAAGGGTTTCAAGATGTTGGGGTAGCCTTACGCACATGTGTGATTGCCCTGTCTGGGTGCCTCTCCAAAGCGCCAGCATTATATTCCCCTTGAAAGGGTTCAAATAATGTTTTTTTAAATAAGCGATCCCACATGGGACGTTTACAAAAATGCAGATACGAAAAAAGGGAAAAAAAAGCGAAAAAAAGACAGAAAAATCAAACACTTGTTGTTCCACACAAATAGTGCAGCACCTTGCCGCTATAAACATTCGCCTCTGATAAATCAGAGGGAATACAAAAAAAAAAAAAAAAAAGAAAAGAAAAAAAAATTTGCGCCAAAGTTGGATAAAAAAAAACACGTACATACAGCTACACAACAAGGGGGAGACAACTCTACGTCCTTTTAAATCATCCCAGACACATACACAAAAACACAAACACACTTGAAAAGAACAACTGCCGTCGACGCGACTCCTGGGAACAAAAGGCCATTTTCAAAAAAGGAGCCATGAACGGCAAATGCAAAAAGGCACATATTGCCACTCACAGGTGCACATACTACAGGCCGCCCCTACCCTTCTGACAGACTATGCCCTCCTCAAGCTGTTCATTATAAAATCCCTATTCGCCCCCAAATCACAGTCAATCTCGTTTAGTAAGAAGGACTGATATATGGCATTAACCCCTGCACTGGAGGGGGTGAAGTTCGTCGAGCGCTCATATGCACTGATTAACACTTCATTTAGAATTACGAACAGCACATGCTCATCATCCATGGGGACAAAAACCTTTAGACAGTGAAAGAAGAAAAAAAAATTCACTCTCAATTTTTCAAAACCGTATTCATTAAAATATAAGTCGCGCACATATTCACTGTAATTCTTAAATAAAATTTTGATTATCACGAGAATGATTTTTTTGTTTTCCAAGTGCAAATTGCTTCTGTAGTTCTTCATTTTGCACATGTACAGTTTGTACATGTACATCTCTAGGTTTTTCTCATGGTGTGTTTCTTTCTGCTCGGTGTTGCCCAGGTCGATGCGGTTTTCGCTAACGTAGCTTCTGCCTACGTCATGATTGCCCCCACCTGCTTGCAGCTCCGAAGAGGTCTTTCCCCTCCTCCCCTTCGCGTACTCCTTGCACACCCGATCGAGGGCCTCGCCTATTTTACCCTTAACGTCGTTAAAATGGTCCCTCTCACCAGAAGCAGAAGCAGCACCAGTAGCGGCGGCACCAGTCGCCTTGCTCTCCAAGAAGGACGCCAAGTACGAATAAACCGCGATAATGTTGTTCAAGAGGTATATAAAATTTTTGCTCACCAGTTCGGTCTTCTTCCCTTCAGTCCATTTCTCCCTTTGGAGGAACTCTTTTACACTTCTCGATATTTTATTTAAGTAGTACGAAAGGAAGGCATTCATTAACTCGTTTCTTTTTTCGAGGAATTTAAATTTTGCAAAATTTCGAATTCCGACGGTGTAGTTCTTCGTATCATCCTGGTTATCATCATAGTCGTCATCGGAGCGGAATTCGTCCGATCGGGTGCCTTCCGAGGGGGGTTCCCCAGAGAGGGGTTCTCCTTTGGAGGGTTCTCCTTTGCGAGGTTTTCCTTTGCGAGGTCCTCCTTGTTGGGCGTCCCCCGTCGTGACCCCCCCTTCGGCCACTAACCTGGTTGCTCCTCCCCGTTCGACTTCTCCACCATTAGGGGCCAAAATGGCAGCGTGCCCAGTCTCACCTGGTTCGTCCCCCTCGCTAGCAACGAAGTTCGCGCTCCGTTTAGGAAGAAGAAGATTATCACCATCCTGCGCATTGTTTTGCTCACCAGAGTGCCCCAAGCCAATACCACGACTCTTCATTTTGTGTTGTTTTTCCTCCTGCCGGAGAATCAACACAGAGTGGAGCTTCCCTTCCTCATCCGTTTCCGCACCTTCCTGCGTGGGCAAGTGCTCCAACTCCCTCGCGTGATGATCAAGATTGTCGTGATCATCAAAGTCATCCTGATCATCGTGCCCAGGCAGTGGATCCTCCCTTTGGAACGTGTAGTAGGCGGTTTTTGCAGCCCCATTTAGATACCCATTCTTGATGCATGGTAGTCCCTTGGAGTGTCTCTCTTCATCCGCGTAAGCATCAGCTTGATCTTCGTTCCTTTTCTGTCCCTCCTCCCCTTCCCTCATTTTGCAAAAGGGATACGAATCTTTATATAGGAGATCCTCAAAAGTGCAGCGAAGGCTAATCCTCTTCCGCTGATTCACCAACGTATGTGCCTCTTTGTACATGTCCACAATTACAGTGCACACTTTTAACACTCCTTCTTTTTTCATGTTGTCTAAAATTCCCACTAGGGTAAAGAGAAAATTCATTTCGATTTTTTTCTCTGCCTCGAATCGGTGCTTCTTTATTATACTTTCTATAAACTTGTCGAAGTCCATCTTCATCAACTTCTTCCTCTCCATCAAGACGTTTTGAAATTCGCCACCGTCAAATGTGACGCTTTGGTATATCCACTTGGCTGTGCATTTCCAGGTGCTTTTTTTTTTTTTTTTTTTTTCCTCATCTGCGTTGTCTACGTCGCTGTAATATGCCTCTGGAGGGTATATGTTTCTGCACTGGAAGATTTGCTCCTTGTCGACGGGGGGGTCCTCCTCAAAGGGGGAGCCATCATCCTTCGCACCTTCACCCCCGTCGTTGCGGCGCCCCTCGAAGACGCACACGAAGTACCTGATGAAGGAGTCCACAAACCTCACCAGGAAAACAAAATAAATGATGACAAAATTAATCAAATTTTTGAAATAAAAATCGGTGCTCGTTAGGGGTATCTCTTTGTAGAAGGCCTCCAAGTCGATGAGGACAAGACAAAGGCTTAACAGAATGTGGTGACTGAGCTCGGGCTTGTTTTCCAAAATGTAACTAGCTTCCTTCTCCTTGCACAGGGAGAAGAATCTCATGAGGCTGCGGTCGTTCTGGAGGCACAAGCTGTACACATGGAACTTCAGCAGTTCGGAGTTGATTCTCTTGAGGAACTCGTCCATGAGGGGGGAGACGCGTTGGTTGCTACCAAGGTGGGTACTCCCAAGGTGAGTATTACCATGGTTCACGGATAGGTTATCCGCGTTGCGCGTCGATTTTCTCGCCTCTTCGCCCTCCTCGTCACGCACCCCCTCCTGCAGCACCCGCACACACAGCGCGACGAGTTTCACCGGGGGGTTCAACATGTATATGAGGTCGACCGTCAGGTCCTGCAGAAGCTTGAAGAGAATCTTCCGCAGCAGCTCCATCATCTCCCTGTCGTCATCCGTGCTGAGTAGGGCTTCAAGGTGCCCCTCCTGCCAGTTGATCGGGGGGGGGTTTACTCCGTCTGGTGCATTGCCACTATTGGCTGCGTCGTTGTTGTAATTCGCTGCTGTGTGGTTGTAACTGGCTTGACCTGCCCCCCCTTTCCCCCTCGCGTCAACGGTGGCCTCGCCCAGCTTCCTCATCAAGGCCCTCAACCGGGGGATTCCGCCAAGGGCTTCCAATCTTCCGCTTCTCTCCATTCTCGTCTCGTCACACGCACAATAAAAGTCTAGCAAAAATAGCTGCCCATAGCTGCGTATCATGGTGAAGAAGAAATGTAGCCATTTCGTGTAGGCCAATTCTAACACAGTTTTGAAGACCCTGTTATGTCCTTCGTCGTGGGGGGCACTCTCACTGGGGTGACGTAAGGGCTCCTTCTCCTTCGCAGATTGGTTCGGTGTTGAAGCGGACTGACCATTATCCTGCTCCTCCTCTTTGGTCGCACCGTCTTCGATGTAACTCCCCCAATTGGAAATTTCACACAGTAGGTACTTCATCGCTGCAAGTCGATTCCGTAAAAACACATTTCTGACCTCCTTCTTATCTTTACCATATGCCAAAATGAGATAAAGAGCTGAAGTGATCTCCTCGTTTGAGGTGACCTGCTCACAGAGGTGATTAAAAAAGTCTTCCGCGGAGTTGCCATCATAGTGGGTGGGCTGCTTCCCAGACTGGGTGGATTGCTCCCCGGACTGTGTGTGCTCACTTCGACTGAGAGTGATACCCCTGCCGAGTTCCTGCTCATAGTAGTAACAAGCGATGCTGGCCATATTTTCGCTGTCTAAATAGAGGTCCCGAAAAATGCGCATGCTTCTATTATCGTGAAAGAAGGGAACAGCCTCCATAAATAGCTGTAACGACTGCGTGTAGTCTCCTAAGAGGATCAAATCAAACATCCTCCTCGGGATACTCATAATGGTATGGACCCCATTGAGTAGCTCCTTAATCTGAAGCAAACTTCTAATCTTTTTGTAATTTTTCCCAATTTTATTATTCACCAAATGAGAGTTCTTATCGATACAATTCAACTGCTCATTTATGTCTCCTATTTTGTCTTTTACATCTCCAAAATTCCGTTTCAGATTTACAATCGTATCTGCTGCCTTCATAAATTTGTTGTAATTCTCGTAGACTACTGACTGCATGAAGTTATCATTCTGTTTAATTTCCTTTTCTATGTTTTTTGCTTTTTGTATCAAATCTTTTAGCGATGCCTTTTGTAGCATCTTCTTAAAATACTCGCTTACGTTAAAATCGGTGCTCTTCTGGTTCAACTGCTCCGAATCGCTTGCATCTATGGGTTCTTCCGTGCACATCTGGTTGCCTCCCTTTGGGGACTTCCACATGATGCGTGATTCTCCCTCCTTCCCACCATTCAGCTTTGCCTCGTTACTTCTAACCATTCCATTTACTCCCCCTTGCTCCTGCTTTGCGGTTCCACTCTGCCCATCTAGGCCGTAGTATCTGTGAAGGATCGCCCCCACGTTTTTTCTCCCCTCGCTGGGCTTCTCCCTATGCATCTTCACAGTTTGGAGATGGTGCCCCAGAATGTGAGGTGTCTCTATGTCAGTTTCGGTTTGTGTATTCCTGTTTGTTTGTGTATTTCTGTTTGTGTGTGTATTCCTGTTTGTATGTGTATTTCTGTTTGGGGGGGGTCACATACGGGAAAAAATCGAATCGACGGGTGACTTCCCCTATATCTGAAGTGAAGTCCCCCTCCTGGAAGGTTTGTCTGTTCCCCTGAATGAGACGTCCACACCCAGCGGAGCACAAACTGGACGAATCACCTCCAATGAAAGCAGAGATGGTTTCACTTCGCCCCATTCCACCCCTGGCTATTAGCTTCGTTCCGTATCTCAAATGGTGCAGAAAAGGCGGGAATAAAAAAAAAAAAAAAAACTCACCAAAGGGGGAACTCAAACCGAAGGGTATGGCATACGCTTTTATGTGCCTCTAATGTGTAATTATGAGGGGTAACCTCGAGGGGATCCTTTATTCACGAGGAGGAGACGAATTAACTCCCTCCGCAGATTAACCTTCTGTCAGAAGGGGTGTGGCCCAAAGCACCTCGCACAGTTGCAGTTGCAGTCGTAGTTACGCTCTCAAATGTGGCGAAGCCGAGGAAGAACTAGTCCGTCATTCTGCTATTCTGCCAATCCGATAACTCGTTAATCTGCTAAGTCGCCAATCCGCTGACTCGCCAATTACCCATGTGCAGCCGGGCCACGACAATGTTGCTCTTCGCGAGGTTGAGCCAGCTATTTAGGGGCATTCTCCAAAAAAAGATAAAAAAGGAAAAAAAAAGTGAGCCACCATTCAAATACATCGCGCAGAGGTGAAAAAATAAAAAAGCCAAAAGTTTTCTACATGTGCATAATCATACGAGCGCAGTGCAACCGCGTGGGGGGAGGAGGACCAATCCTATTTTGGTAATGTGCGCTCGGTAAGATATAACCACCGAAGTGGCGTCATTTCGCGGAGCTTCTAAAAGCAGTTCACCTGAGGCATAGAGGTCGCATCCCACCAACTGGAGTGGAAAATTTCAGAGCATCCGAAGAAGGGGTCAGGTAAAAAAGCACAACGCGTAAAAGTAAAGTAACCACTTTCGTGTGCACGAGGAGTTAAAAGGTATCATTAAGTCCTTTTCGTTTTCTTCCCCTTCTCACTCCCAACCATTACTGCACCGTCGAATTGGAATAAAGGGAGATATTCACACGGTTTTCCTTTACTTAGGTTTAGTCGCATCCTTCTTCATCCGTCCATCCGATGAGGATATTCCATTTTGTTCTTTATGAGCCAACATGTCCGCCTTTTTTTTTTTTTTTTTTGTATAAGTTTTTCCCTCTGTGTGGAATGTTCCAAATTTGCCTGAACCATCAGGCGAAAAAAAAGGGTTAACCTGTGCAGGTGGAAAATGGGTGTGTCGTCCCAAAGATAAGCAGATAGGCAATTTATTCCTCCCCTCATTCCTGCGGGTGTACAAAAAAAGGAGGTTACACATACCCGTGAGACGCGACAAAAGGGTAACCCTTATGTCAATACCACGCTTATTTTTTAGTTCCTTCACCCAGTTCACCCCTCTGTTATGCTTAACTCTTTGACTCTACAAAAATGGAAGGAGACACGGGCGGAATTATCTCTGCGGGAAAATGGTCACAGTGCAACGGCATGGCAACTAAAGTGCAGTCAAAACAGGGGAAAAAAAAAGAGAAAAAAAAAATTCCATTTTGAAAGCTCCCCCCTCGCAAATGCCACGTTGGTTATTCCACTTTGGAAAGTATTTCCCTAGAGCTGTCGCTCTCACTGGACATGTCCCCTGGGAATGGCAAAAATGGAAAGATAAAGGAACACAACATGTGTGCATACATATATATAAAATACTATAAATATGTCTTTCCCCATCTGGGCTCTCCTCTACCCCTGTACCGTTCAGCATCATCGATGTACTCGTGGAGTCCCTCCAAGGGGATGAAGTGAAATTTTATTCCCACCTAAACTTCCCCGTTGTGTTTTTTTTTTTTTTATTTTATCTCCTTCCGCCAATTGGGTAACCCATCGGAGTCAAAACCCATTCGGTCGTACTGTTGGGGTAAGGTTCTCCCCGTTTTAGTTATGAACTGCATCTCGTGTTGTTCACAGAAAGAGCTACGAGAAGGTGGGGGGCCTTCTTCATGTGCACAGGTTGGCGCCCTGGCCCTTTGCGGTCTCCGCATGGGGAAAAGGGGGCATCGAAAGAAGGGGAAGCAAAAAATGGATGCACATGGAAATTAAAAGGGATTAATTCGATAAAGGCGATGAATTGATAGACGCGAACAATTTGATAAAGGCGATGAATTGATAGACGCGAACAATTCGATAAAGGCGATGAATTGATAGACGCGAACAATTTGATAAAGGCGATGAATTCCATAGCCGCCATGGAGACGATAAAAACGATGGGCACGATAAACCCAATTAACATGATAAACTTGACGAAATGAAAAGGAATTGCAGCATGCGGTGCCCCTCCATGGGGTGAACACGCGCACCCCCCAGACGCGCGTCGCAAATGGAGAGAAAGAAACGCCTCACAAATCAATGATCGCTTTGCAGAACCAAGGCGCTAGAGCAAAACTCATCAAAAGAGACAGGGCGCAAAAGGACGAAGACACGGCGATGTTCTTTTCCTTCGTGTTGGATTCTTCGAAACATTCACCTATTCTGGAGTAACTGATATTTATAAGAGACCCATTGGTAGAACCCAAGAGAAATATGATCAGCGCCACGAACTCGTCCGAGTGCATATAGTCTCCGTCTTTTAAATTTTTTATTTTGAATGAGATGCCGAGAAGGATAAGCCGACTTAGGCACAGGATCACAATGTACTTCTGCTTCAGGAAGTTGAAGGCGTTGTGGTAAACCGTCACGAGGAGGCTGAAAAGCATGTCGCTCAGTTGGTACAGGAACAGGAACAGATAGTTCACGTAGACGCCTTTTCCGAGCTTGTTGGGGACTGCGCGGGGGGGGAGAAGAGGTGCATCAAGCGGTGAGGGTGCAGTAGTGGGTATTATGAGGGGTGCGTAGGAGTCGCCATAGAGGAACGCACAAAAGTAGGCGCAAAACACGTCGCAAGGGACGTCACAAAGATGCCAGAGACGGGGCCGCTCACATCACTCGGGGGCACTTACTCATGTGGGGGTACACAATGGAGGAGACGAAAATGGAGAAAGATATGGGGATGAGGCAGACGTAGTAGTACTTAATGAGACGAGCTCCGTCGCAGATGTTGGTGCAGTTAAACATGCTCTTAAAGGTCACAAATTTTTGTTTGCACGAGGTGAGGACAGGAACTCCTCCGTTTTTGGCCTTGGAATCGGATGTAGACAAAGCACTGTTCTGTTTCTTGGTCTTCCCCTTTTCAATGGAGCTCAAATTCTTATCCATATTAGCTTTCTTAAACATCTCGAGCTCAATTTTCTGGCGCTCTTGAGTAAAGAAAGGAGAGCTCACTTGCACATACATAATAAACAGGATGATAAAAAACTCAATTAAGACGATCGTGCCAATGGACAAAGAAATCGCATTGTAGTATGAGTTAATATTCCCTTCTTCGATCGTGAAATAGGACATCAATAGATTTATTAAAAAAAAGAAAAGAGAACTGAAGCTGATGCCTGTGATCATATAGCCGTTTACTCTTATCGTCATGAGGAGAGAGTACTTTGTGCAGGCTGAATAGAGGTAACCAATAAACAATCCAATTATGCCACAGATCAGATATACGTAGTTCTTGGAGCACTTCAAGAAACATATTCCCACTAGAAGGACCAGCATATTGGCTGTGTTTAACGAATTAAACACCATGATGGATTTGAAAGATGTCCTTTCAAAGGTTAACTGAAACACGGAGGAGATAATCATGCATCCAGATACGATGCCCATTGTCGTGACGAAGATTTCCTCCTTGTAGATATGATTTATGAGGAAGGATACGTTCACTATCACGTGGGACGGCAGGCTCAGCAGGAGCCCGATGAAGAAGAAGATGGCCCGTATTTTGGCCTCCTCCCCCGGCTGCAGCTGGTGCTTCTCCATCGGGATTCCTTGCTACGTAAATACACAGTGCTTCCTCCTGATCTTCGCCGGGGTCCTGCGTCTTACTCCACTACGCAAATCCGCGGTGCAACCCTTTTTCGGTTCGTGCCGGGCAGGTGCTCTAGAGGGGGCGATAAAATGAGCTGCAAAAGAAAGGCGGTGAAATGGACTGAAAAGGGGCTCCAAAATGGACGGCAGGAAAAGCTGTGGAGGCGACTTCCAAATGGACCCCCAGTGGGTTGAACACTACGTGTGTACAAGGCTTACCAACTTCAGACCAGCAGCGCAACTGATCAGTTAAAGGGAGCAGGAAAAGAAACATAACACAGTGCAGGTAAACACCTTCAAAGAAACAACGTGCACGTAAACACCTTCAAAGAAACAATGTGCACGAAGGAGTCCTACAGAAAAAGAAGGTTCGCTCAGTGCATATAACACCTACAGGCAGCTCGAGAGCGATGCGACTAAGTTTATTCCACTATCTCACGAGAAAAGCAAAACAGCAGGAGATAAAAAGCGAACTTCCTTTCGTACATAAATAAAAACGCACAAAAAAAGGTATTAAAATGCGGGCAGATTGAGCAGCCAATGTTACAAAACACGCGGCAAGCAATCAAATGCAAAATTGTATACAGAATTGAATCACAGTTGTAGGTCACTTACTGTATCTGGTCTTGAAGAGGAAAAAAAAAACAAAAAAAAGAAGAAAAGAAAGAAGCAAAAGAAGAAGCAGAAACAGAAGCAGTTTCAACACAACGCAGATGTTACCAAACGGAAAAACACTTAAGGGTGCTTATAACATTACATCGCAAAAAAATACCCCACTGAGTGAAAAAAAAAGAGAGCGAGGCAGAGAGATGAATGGATGGGGAGCCACGATTCTCAGTATAAGCAAGGGAGGAGAAGAGGCGGCCTAATTATGCAAAAAAAAAAAAAAGAAAAAAAAAACATCCTACCTTTTTCATGCCTTAAGCACATTTGCTTTGTTACGAAAATGTTCATTCCCCCTTTCGTAGACACAATTTTTTGGGCGGGGAAGTAACTCCGTATAAGTAGTACCAAAGGGGTGTTCCCCACAGAAGCACATTCACGTGTAATGATTCGCCACCCACTCTGGCGATCCAGCTGAAGGAATTTCTCCTAGCGATACCAGAGCGATGCCAAAGCGATACCAGAGTGATACCAGAACAATACCAGAGCGGTACCAGAGTGATACCAGAACAATACCCGCGATCTCTTGTGCTGCTCCTCCAGGCAGGCCTTAGAATATGCCCTCTCCACCCCCCTACGAATGGATGCATCTTTTACGCCATCAAAAAAAAAGGGGGCTTCCTCAAGTGGGTGAAGATAAGTGATTCACGTGAACATTTCGCCCTTACATGTGGCACTTAGGTGTAATGTCCTCGCGCTACGTGGAAAGTAACCTCCCCATGTTGGTGACATTCACTATTGGAAGGACAGGCAACTAGCGGAGTGACCAAACCAAGGCCAAGGGGGCACACACTGTCATTCGTGTGGTTCGTTTTGTTCATATCGTCCGTCTCATTCGTATCATCCATGCCATCGTGAAAAAGGGAAAAAAAATTTTAATTAAAAAAAAAAGAAGATAGTTCCATTAGGGTATTAATCCAATTGGTGTACCATTGTTACATCCGTGAAAAGAACAAAAAAAAAAAAAAAAAAAAACTCCAGCTAGGGTGTGCCTAGCTGGTGCCACTAAAGCAGAGAGCACGCAGCCACGACAAAGATGCAGCCGCGCAAGTCGACAGAGAAAAAAAGCTGCAGAATGGCGCGCACAAATATGAATTGCAGTTACGGTCACCTTGGTGAAGTGGATATAGCCGTGAGGTTCTTTCGCCCCCAGGGTGTTCCTAAAAACGCAACCGCGACTGCTACGTCCACTGCTACCGCCACTCCTACCCCTGCCACCTGGGGCTCGAGAAAAAGACCGAGTTGACGGCGTTAAAAAATACGTTCATGCTGAGGTCGTTCCTGCGCACGTGCCTGTACAACTGCCGCAGGTACTTCTCCTTATAAATCCGCTGCAGCTTTCGCAGGAAGAGAAAATCCTCCTTCGTCAAGAAGGGCAAAAGGGCACAATAATCAGCATACGGATTGCTAACATTGAAGCTACTCCCAATTATCACGGGGGAGACTTTCGTGTCATACATAAGTTCGAAGAACTCTCGAAAGTCGGTCTGCTTGGTGAGTGCAGCTGGAGATGATGCCTCCCCTCCTGTTGTAACGATTGGCATTCCTCCTTTCGCCACGTCATTCTGATTCCCCTTAACATCAACAGGGCCAATGCTGTGTGGTAGCGAAGTCGGATCTGCTACTTTATTGTCTAACCTCGTAGGTGCCATTTTCTTTTTCCCTTCTTCATCTTCTACATTGGAGGAGAGAACACCCAGAGGACCACCACCCCCTTTCTTCGTCTCGTAATTATTTGGCCTACTCCCATATTTGATGTAGTTGTCTACAGTCAAAACGACATCTAAGAATCTTCTCAGATCGAGGACTATCTCAATGTTGTTTCTTTTCCGACTTCTCTGCCGTCTGCTATTGATGATATTATATATTGGTTGTTTCCTCGCGGGGAAGAAGCACGTCTTTTGGTACTTACGAATCCATTCTAGGGTGTAGACATCTCCAGACTTGAGCCGTTCCAAGGGGTTCACTACCTTGGATGGGTTCTGATTCCCCTTAACCTCGTCGGAGAACCACTTCTGGAGGAAGTTTTTCAGAATGGATTTCTGCTTGGCCTCGTCTCGATCATTGCTTGAGGTTGACACCTGTTTGAATAGACCCTTCACATAGAAGACACCGATTAAGGAGTAGGATGTTTCTCCCCCCACGGAAGAGATGGGCATGATGTAGGTTTTGTTCTGACTGTACTGCTCCTCGTCGATGTCGTCTTGGGAGCTCTCTATAACTGCTTTCTTTCCCGAGTCCGAATCGGTGTGAAGTAGCTGCTTAGCCGCACTGTTGTTGAGGCTCCCGTTTCGTTCCGCATCCATTGGATCCGCACCACCACTTACCGATGATGCCGCTTCCCCTCCAGTGGTCTTGCCCAACTGGTGATCATACGCAGCTCGAAGGTTCATCTTCTGCACTGTGTCGAAAATAGGATTTTCAAAGTCGAGGAAAATCATGTTAAATTCCTTTGTGCAGTTTAGTCTATTGTTTGTCATCAGGTAGAGGAAGTGGTTAGCAATCTTCACTTCCTCCTCCCTGGAGCTGGAGGGTTCATTTGTCTTCCTATTCCCGCTGGAAAGAATATACCTCTGTTCAATAGCCTTGAACACGTCACTCTCGAAGATGTTCTCTTTTGCACCACTGTCTGACGGGGGGAAATTTTCAATCTTCAGTTTCTCCACGATGCGCAGGAAGCGTGCGTTCCTTTCTTCAACGTTGAGTTTGAAGGAGTCGATATCGCTACGTTCGTCCAGAATCTTTTTTAAAGTTAACTCCAGCTTCTTATTCCAAATGCAGTACTTCAATGCTCCATTGCAGACGGGGCACTGTATAGACTTGTCCTTAAGTCTCGACATATCAATAAATGCACTTGTCTTTTTCTCATCGGATATAAGGAGTTGGTTCAAAATGTAGAATAAGATACACGTCTTGCACACCGAGTAACCACAGTTGTTACTGCACACAAGGATATGCGAATCGATTAGGATGTAGCTACATAACTTACATAGGAACTCATTTGGGATGTTTATTTTTTGTTCTTCTCTGACATCGACACTACTTATTTCTTTTTTTGCCTCATGAGTAATATCACTCAGATTTGACTTCTTCCTTATGTGCCTGTGGATGAGAATCTTCGTCCCGTTGTATACTTTGTCCTCGGGATTCAAGAACGCCACTTCGTGGTCCCCGCCGCCTATTGAGGTCACACCGCTCACACCGCTACCCTCCCCCTCCTCATCATCCTTGTACACGGAAAAATAAATGTCGATCTTATTATTATAGTTGATGTTGCTCTGCTTGCAGATGATGTGCTTCAGCTCGCTGACCAAAATGTAGTTCTCGCTTTTGTTTATTTCGAGCACCCTCCAGAGGGAGTGCTCGCTGAATAGGCGGTATTGGATGTACATAGGGGGGGTTGGAAGCACACCTGGGTTGGAAGTACTCCTTGGGGGGAAATTTTCACACCTTAAAGCGTCCCCCCAATCAGTATCCGCATATGTGTCCCCTCTTTCCAACCCGCTTGCGCGCTAGCAATGGTCATCCGTAGTGGACACGAGGGAACGCGCAAAAGGGATATTCAAGCGAAGAGGTCCCCTTTGCATCCTGAGTATCCTGTCCTCGTGGAAAGGACCGCGAATCCGCATTCTTCGCGTGCATGGCCTTAAACTTCCTCTCGGTCGTTTACTGCCTAACGAGGGATCCCCTTTGCAGACTTTCTCCTGTTTTCTCCCCTGGGAACTTTATTTGCACGCCGCCAAATTGTTACAATATGCTCCTGGCAAAAATGCTTGTATATATGCTTTGTATGTCAAAAGGGAAAATGACGGAGCAGCTCCAAAATGAGCAATCCGAACGGGGTGCCAAACTGTGATAAAAGTGTAGAGAGGCTACCCAAAAGAGCTACTTTTCTCCCCCATCAGATCGTCAAAAAAAAAAAAAAAAAAAAATCCGAAACAATATTTTCACGTACAATTTTGTACCTATTGCGGGGCTCCCTCTCAGTGCGGTGTTCCCCAACTGGTCGTAATAACCCCGTTTAGCCCATCCGCGTGCAATGTTATGCTTTGGGAGGCTCCTCTACACCACTCGGACAGAACTACTGCGCATTTGCACAGAAGAGAAGCCCCGTAACGCTCATATTAAATGGAGACTCCGGAGAGGCTACGCCGTCCTACGCCTAGCGACTGCCACCATCACGGGGGGGTATAATTTCCCAACCTCCGCCCCCTTTTCCAAATAAAGAGTTTTACAAGAGTTCCAAAATTGTCGTTTTGGTTTTTCCTATACGAATGGGTATAGAAAAAGTTGTACGCATGGCGAGGAGAAGAAAAAAAAAAACAAAATTAAAAAGGCGTAAAAAAGGAGTTACACGGGGTGCTTACCCGTAGTAACACATAACGGGGAGTATTTAACGTCGCTTAAGCTTCAACTGGGTAAAAATGAAAGCGAAAGAGGAAGCATCTTTGTGCGCCTTCCTCGTCAGTCCTCACAAAAAATGTGCACACAAAACAGGCACACCTTTTTATTGGTAAAGTCAGGCGATGGACTCAAATTGTTGCAACAGAAAAAAAAAAAAAAGAGGCAACACATTATATGTTGAGCAGAAAATAAACGTATGCAGGTGGGTACATAAAACAAAACAAATAAATCCGAGTGACCAAAAAAAAAAAAAGAGGAAATTGAAAAATGCAGTCAAATGTTGCTGTGAATGCATTATGGCGTCATTCCCCCATTGGAGATACAAACTAATACGCATGGGTGACTTTCTTTTCTTTTACCCATCTCTCTTCTCATTCGCAAGGGTGCTCATTGATACGCCTTTTCCTGGGACATTTTTTTTTTTTCTTCTTCTTTTTCTTTTTCTCTTCGTTTCTCCATTGGTAGGGCGTCTTCCACGAAATGGTGGCGCTTCTCCCACTACGCTGTCTGACGCGCGCGCCACTCCCGATGGCCTTACTTTCCGTCTGAGTAACTTTATTAGTCCTAACCCGCCCTTCAATCTTTTCCTTTTTAAGCAAATCAAATACTCCCCTTTTACTCCTCCATGGTTGAAACAGAAATCGAGGTTTTTTTCCCCCTTTTCTTTTTCCTTCGCTTGGGGGCTATTTTCTTTTCTCCCCTTCACGGATTTCACTTTCTTAATCATCACGAGCTTTCTCCTGGTAATCGGAAGTGGTCTCTTCTTCTGACGAGAAAACTTCCCAGTGGGGTGTCCTCCTCCAGATCGTTTTTTTCCTCCAAATTTGGGGTTGTAACCGTGAGGCTTCTTCTTCCCACCGGGCTGTAATTCTTCACATAGTTCCACCTCCACGTCCTCCTCTACGCAGGGGTTCCTTATTCTAGGTCTACTTATGCGATTCGCTGGAGTGGATAACTTGCCATGCCGCTCCTCCTTCGATGCACTGTTGCCATTCCCGGGGAGGCACACCTTCACAAGTGATGATCTCTGCCTACCATTTGAGCCGGCAGATCCTTTCCCCTTTAGTAAACAAAAAAAAGGGTTCCTATTTGGGAGCAGTTTCATCCAATGCTTCTTCTTCATGGAGCACGTTGGTACCTTCCTAATAGGTCCTCTGTTGTTAGGCTTCCCCTTGGGTTCTTCCTGCACGTGACTTTCTTTTACGTCATTTGTTGTTTTCACTTTTCCATCTTTCCTCCGGTTGGATAGACCCTTCTCTTTGACAGCTCGCTGGTCCTTCCCCGCGCTCGCATCACTTTTGGCCACGCCCTTTTGGAGCTGCCACTCGCCTTCTCCGCCACGTCCGTTACAGTTGCCGCTTCCGCTGCCACAGCTCCCTGCATAACGCGACGTGGATTTACCTTTGCGGGATGATGATGACGTCTCTTCGTCCCCCTTCACCTCAGAGGCCTTACTACTGCGACAACCACCTTCCAAAGGGCCTCCCCCAGCAGGGTGTCCCTTCACACATGCAGTGGGTTGCACCGGGTCATTCTTTACTTCTAATGTAGGTTCCACCGCGACACGTCCCAATGGTAGGACCCCCCTCAAATTTGCCTTCTTCACAATTTCGCCTTTCTTCTTCCTTTCTGACATGTTCATATTACTCCTATGACATGCTAACTGGCCACGGATCTGCATCCTCCTGTTAGCTTTAAAACGTGAAGGGGGCATATCTGAGCTTCCATTTTGGTTCACCATCTTGTTCTGCTCCATCTGCTTCGTCCCCTTCTGCTGCTGCTCCTCGTCCTCCTGGAAGAGTTTTCCTCCCTCTGATATGGATGCCTTATGGTGGGACACAAAATTAAAGAATTTGAACAGACTTATTCCAAAACTGATTCCTGTCAGCATCAAGACATTCTCGTCGTAAAAGAAGAAGTTGTATTTGTCTTTATCGTCACAGGTGTGACCTCCTTCTGCTTCAATCGCTTCAACCGCGTCAACGGTGTCAATCGGTTCGCCTGCCTGATGAGAATGATCCTCTTCCTCGTTAGTGCGTCCCCACTCGGGGAGCACCCCATTGGAGCTTCTTCTCATTTTGACCCCTATGAGGGACACTTCAAACGTGTAACTGCAGTCTATAGCGAACTCGCTTCCACATACATGCCTTGCTACGCCCCTGTTTGTAATGTCACTCTTAAATTTTGTATCCTCCAGGGAGAACCAGGGAAGGGATGCTCCCAGAACTTCCGGAAAAATCTCAGCCAACTTCTTCCTACCCCTTAGATGAGCTCGACTATCTGAGTTGCCAAATAGGAAACAATTATACTTTCTTGAGTGCCCATGGAAATCACAGAAGAAGACAATTCTTCCATTCCTGTGAATTCTTCTTATGAGCGTCTTAGCTGTGTGCACCGTTTGGTGCAGATAATAAATTGGCCTATTCCACTGTCTATTCAGGTCGAAGCCATTTGAGCAGAGTCTGTTGTGTCCCAGAATCACTCCGTCGATGTTTAACATCGGTATGACAATAAAAATGAAGTTATCGCGAAGCGAATCGGCGTATGCATTTTCCGACGTGATAAACGCGAGGAAACCATGCATGACGTAGCTGGCGTTCGTTTCCCCAGGGTGGACTCGTGCGGTTAGAAAAATGATTTTCTTCCCTTCGCGTCGGGGCTGGCTTGGTGCTTCCCTCTCAGGCGGTTGCTTCCCCATCCTCTGGGGGGAGGCGTTCACAGGGGGAGAATTCACCACATGGGTAGAAGAGCCACTTAAAGAAGGGGACGTCGCCGACCAGCGCTGGCTCTTCCCTCCATCGTGATTTACCGGATGCATGGAATGCCTCTCCAGAAGGCGCTCAAACTGGCGCATGAACGCGTCAGAACATTTTCGGGGGCTCCTCTCCCTCAGGTTGTCATCTCCTTCCTTTCCATCACCTGTCCACCTGGGATGGCACAAATTGTACATGCACCTCGCGTCGTCAATATATGTGTGCCCCTCGCAGGACTGGCACGGGGTTTCCTTCGCGACATCTAGCAGGGTGGGATTCCCCCCGATGGGCACCCTGATGCTCCCAACAGAATGCAGCTGCTTCGCTTGATCTGCTTCCCCGGGAATCTTCTTCCGATGCGACCCTTCAATGTTAGTTGACCCTACGTAGTTCTTCCCAGTAGGAGCCGCTTCGGTGTTCACTTCCGTTTTTGCTTCCCTCTTGGCTTCCGTTTTTGCTTCCCCCCCCCTGTCATAATTCGTTATGGCTACAACGGTGCAGGGGAACCCACAAGCCGTCGTGCACAAGGTGCCCTGCACGTAGTTAATTTTTTTCTCCCTCTCCTGGACACTGTGCACATAAGTCTTCAGTAGGCCAAGGTAGCGCAAAAGGTAGGAGTAGGAATATGGAAGGGAGCTAGCGAAATAAACTGTGTCGTAGGGGTACACAAAATCGTAGGAAAATTCAAGTGTGTACGTGCAATAGAATAGCTTCTCAAATGCATTTGTCTTTAAATTGAAATGTCTGGGGTTGTCATTTCTCGTGTAGGTAACATTGTAGGCTGCTCTCTCCCAGTGCACATTCTCCTTCATGCTTCTACACTGGGAGAAAACCAAAGGAGAGTGTCCTTCTTTGTAGAGAAAATAAGGCCTAGACATATTTTCGATTTTGAATTGAACAGAAAAGGGCCTCTGCAATTTCTTGACATTGCTGACGAGAAAGAAATCGGAAGAATCGAAAGAAGCTTTGACACCTTCGTTGTTGTTGAGATGCACATCTCCGCCAATTTCATTAATAATTCTATTTATGCAGCTCGGTTCGTTTTTTCTCTTTCTCTCCTCGAAGTAGTCACTCTGATAATAGACTCCGGGGACATAACTTGCGCTGAAGTAGAACCACTGGTTCTTCTTCTCATTCGATCTTACGTCGTGATTTAAGAATATAGAATAGACTTCTCTGTTCTTTTGCTTCAAGACGTACTTCAAGTTTGCGCTTTCGAATTTCGAGTTAAAGAGAATGCTTCCCTTAGGCACGGTCACTTCCTTTGTGAGGTCTGGCTTATACTTTGGTGGGTACACATATTTGTACGTATGCCCTGGTTCTTCTACACATCGGATATTTTTCAGCTTCTTATAAATATTGGGGGGGCATGAGGATGGCGATGATGGGAGTTCCTTCCATTGGTCTCTCTCTCCCTCGTTTCCGTCCCTTTCTGCCACATTCGGGGTGCCTCCCAGTGTGGCTGCTCTTCCGACTGTGGCTGCCCCCCCCACCGCATGCCCCAGAAACGAATCATGCCAGGCGAACGAAGCAGGGTCCAACTCGCCCCCATTCTGGCATATGCACAAGAAGTTATAATTCAATGTCTCACTGATGTTGCTCATACTCTGCACAAAGAGCTGCTTATTCCTTTGGTTCACATTTTCGAGGCGCTCCTTCAAAAAGATTTTTACGTTTTCAATTTTTTGTGGAAAATTCACCTGATTAGTCATCTCCTTGATATGAATCTTGTCCGGGTCGACATCGTCAGAGTGTTTTTCCGTCGCTGAGTCCTTCTCTCGCAGGGGGCACGGCGCGCCCCCCTTCCTCTTACCGCGTGTTATTGTAGGAATCTCCACCTGCGCATTGGTGCCTTCATAAACGGCCTTCACCGATTCGTGAAATATCAGGTCCAGCTGGTTCACCTCCAGGGTGTCGCCTCTTCGGCGATCACTTCTGCTACCACTTCGTCTACCACATCCGTCGCTGCTACCGCTCCTACCGCTTATATCGACATGGTTTTTTCTCTCCCCCCCTTGAGGAAGTATCGACTTGAACTTTTCCTCATTCCCTTCCCGCCCATGGTTTACCACCTCCCTGTCATTGTTGCAAATTGGGGGTTCCACCTCGCTTTTCTTCCTTTTCTCCGCCGCCTCATCGCACCCCTTAGCGCATATTCCCTTTCTCCGCCCATATTCCCCACCGATCCCTAAATGACGAAGTAAATAAGCAGGGCCAGGGCTATGATAATCAAAATGCTGAAGATGACTACTATTGTCTTCATCTTCAATAAGCATTATACGACTACAAGGGGGAAGAGAGAAAAAAAAAGTAGCACTCCAGCACGATAAGAGCTTGTTAAGAATTCTCCTCTTTTGTATGAAAACGGGTTAGACGAAATGGGAATAAAAAAAAAAGAAAAAAAAAATTGCAAAAAGAAAGGAAAATCGATAAAAAGGGATAGGGAGCCGCAAAATGGCAAAATAACAACGAGCGGGGGAAACAAAACTTCTTGGGCATCTTTCAGACCCTCCGAGCACGTTCTTTTTACCTTTCGAAAGAATGAAGAAATGGCAACATTGCAAAAGCGAAATGATCGTTAATTTATTCATCCATCCTCAAAAAGAAAAAAATCTATAAAATAATTCTACACGAGGAAGTGCCGCGCTTATATATGCCTATATCACTTCATAGTCTCAAACGACGCCCCTCATTTTATGCACCCGAGGGGGACCATTCACTTATAGCCCCACTGCAACACTTTGCAAAAAAAAAAAAAAACTACGCCCGAAAGGGTTTAATGGTGACGCATAATAGCTGATTAAGCAGAAATAGGTAACCCTTAAAAAGGAAGGAAAAACAGAGGACAAGGACACGTCGTATCTTCCCTTTTCCTGCTTAAAAAAGGAAAATTTTAATGACGTTATTTTCCCTCCACGTGAAAAATAACAGGGGGGAGGTCTAACATGAAAAAAAAAAAAAATTCAGTACAAATATACACACATGCTGTGTTGCGTTCTCTCTTTTTCTTTTCACCCGATGGGGGAAAATAAAGACTGGAAGGAATGCAGAGGTAGACATGGTGCTGTTCATTCTCTGTGCAGAAAAATACCACCCTCCTTTTTGTGGCATCCAAAAGTGGTCCTCCAAGGGGTACGCGCAAAACGTGCGAATCGCGAAGGAAAGAGTTCCCCGGCGGAAAAGAAATACGAATATGGAAACATCAATCCTCTTAAACGGAAACCTCCCCGCCTGCGTGACAGCAAATGTTACCTACCTTCATGCGGGTCTACCCACATCCAATGGTGGCATCTTTCATCAAGTATAGTCCCCACGACATTGACCTGCACAGTTTGGCAATCACGTGCGATATAATTCCCTTTTCTCAAAAAAAAAAAAAAAAAAAAAAGTGGCCGATTCGTTCCGCTAACAGCAGCTCAGTCATATCATCCGTATCGTTTCAGAAAAGTTGTGACCTCCAAAAAATATGGTACCTTTCCTTCATCTGGCTTAGCGGATCGGTGACCCCAAAACGGACTAAGGGGTAAAGCGGTACTTTCCAGGGGAGTTTCTCCTTTTTATGCCCTCTAGGGGTACGTGTAAACAAAATCGGTATACACATAGGTGTGGTGCTTCCCTCCCGAAATCTGATCTCCCCTAAATAGCCTTATCCCACTGCTTCGCTGGGGCGTCCCTAAAGGAGGTTATTTCTCCGCTTCTTCGAACTGCCACACGTTTAAAGCCGCTTCCGTCTCGCGGGTGTATACCACTTCGTAGCAACAGCGCCCCGCCTCTTGCGAAACGGAACCATTGGGATGTTCACTACGCCATTTTCTCTAAGTTCCGCCACTTTTCCGCCTTCTCGGAAAAGCAAAACGCGGGAAAAGGCGGCTCTCTCTGCACCGTCAAGCGGTACAGCTCCACGCCCCGCTCAAACGGGGGACTCTTTTGTGCAAATGAGTAGCGCCTCGCGCGGATCCTGGGCAGATAGGAAAAAAAA